AACAAAGCTGAAAAGAGTTGGAGATCTGAAGAATGTTTTGACATCAGACATGGAAATGCAGAGTTTAGAGTTTGCCCAGCTTGTTTCAGTCTTACTTTGGAACAGTATTTCCTCACTATGCTCCCTTCCTTGCATTTTGGAATGGTAATGTATATCCTGTGTCATTATAGGATGGAAGTATATGGTCTGCTTTTTTATTTTGATTTTTATAGAGGATTACGGTAAAGGGATTGCATGAATCTCAGAAGAGTCTGAACTTTGGACTTAAACGTTTTTGAGACTATGATAGACTATGGGGACTTTTGAAGTTGGACTAAATGCATTTTGCATTATGATATTGTTACAAGCTTATGGAGGCCAAAGAGTGGAATGTGGTAGTTTGAAAGTAATTGTCCCCATAATCTCATAGGAAATGGGTCTGGCCTTGGTGGAGGAACTGTGTCACTGTGGGGGTGGGCTTTGATAATTCCTATACTCAGGATACCTTCTAATGTGTCAGTCGACATCCTGACTGCAAGATGAAGGACTCTTAGTTACTTCTCCAGCATTCTGACATGTCCCACCATGATAATAATGGGTTGAACCTCTGGAACTCCTATTAAATGCTTTCCTTATAAGAGTTGCCATAGTCATGGTATCTCTTCACAGCAATAGAAACCCTAAGACACACCTCTTCTAGTTTACTCTCTTTGCTTGAATCTGTGGTAAAAGATGTGATGTCGCAGCTTCTTGCTCTTACTGACCCATTCTCTGCCTTGATGGACCAACTCTTGTCCCTCTGAAACCCTAAACCCAGATATACTCTGTGTTCTATAAGTTGTCTCTGTTGTGATGTTTTTACACAGCAACAGAAAATTAAAACAGCTAGGAAGAAAGAAACAAAACAGAAGACATAGAAATGATAGTGTATGAAGGAAATTATCCAAGGGCCAGCCTGTATGTTGGGTAGGATGTCTGTGACCAGGTGGTTTTGTGTTTGAGTAACAGGCCACAAAGAGAAAAACAGGTAGGAATGAGTCAAGCTGCCCTAGGTGAAATAGGAACTCACTCAGATGGCATTTCTCTCTCTTGGTACTATATTCTCACATGTATTTTAAGTTGCCTAACGTTTTATCATAGAAATCTGTCGTTAGAAACAAAACCGTTGCATATTATGACTTCGTGTTAACATGTTGGTTTTTATAGACATTTTAAGAAATAGTTGAACCGGGTGGTGGAGGTGCATGCCTTTAATCCCAGCACTTGGGAAGCAGAGGCAGGCCGATCTCCGTGAGTTCGAGACCAGCCTGGTCTACAAGAGCTAGTTCCAGGACAGCCTCCAAAGCCGCAGAGAAACCTTGTCTCAGGAAAAAAGAAAAAAGAAAGAGAGAGAGAGAGAGAGAGAGAGAGAGAGAGAGAGAGAGAGAGAGAGAGAGAGAGAGAGAGAGAAACAGTTGACTTGCTAAGATTCAGATTTATTTCATTACTTAGTAACCCTTAGTTCACTACAGGGTTACTTACCTGTGCATATATTCAATGTTAATGGTTAATCAAACATAAGATTTAAGTAGTTGATAATTCTAAAAGAGTTGCAAAAAATTTATGCTATCCATTTTTCTGGGAGAAGATCTGTAGGTTTTTGTAAATTCTTAGCAACTTCCTCAAGGGTTAAAAATTACCATATTATATTACCAAACAAGTGTTTCTCCAAATTTCCTTTGTTGCCTCAGCTCCATGGACAGGTAATTAAAATACATGTTCATGTATTTAAGCTGAAAATGAGGTTGACTTTTCATAGGTCTTCAGTTATAGTCATGTTATTTTATAGAAAATATTTTTCCCTTCAGCTCTATTGAAAGGAGTAATTAAAATTGCTTCTGGAGAATAAAGCTTGAGGTTAAAGGAGAATTTCTTAGCTGCTTTTTGAGTTTTTAATAAGGCACCGAGTCGGTTGTGGATCACATTTATTTGGTAGCTTTAAAAACAGGATGAAGAAGCCCGGCATTGGTGGTGCACGCCTTTAATCCCAGCACTCAGGAGGCAGAGGCAGGCAGATGGATTTCTGTGAGTTTGAGGCTAGCCTGCTCTCCAGAGTGCCAGGATAGGCTCCAAAGCTACACAGAGAAACCCTGTCTCGAAAAACCAAAAAAAAAAAAAAAAACCAGGATGAAGAGAGAAAGGGCTTTGTGGTCAAGAGCACTAGCTGTTCTGCAGAGGTCACAAGTTTGGTTCTCAGCACCCAAGTGGCGGCTTATAACTGTCTATAACTCCAGTTCTAGGGGACCCAACCCAACTTCCTCTTCTAGCCTCCATGAATACTGCCTGCACATACTCATACATAAAAGTAAATCTTTAAAAACAGAATGGAGACTGGAAGTGCTGCTTAATTGGTAGTGTGCTTCCCTAGCAACACAGAGACCAGGTGCCTTTCCTAGGACCTCATAACACAGGTGTGGTAGGTAGCAATATAACTATAATCACAACACTCTAGAGGTCATCTTCATTTAAGGTCACTTTCTGCTACATACAGTGAGTTTTAGGCCAGCCTGGGCTACAGGAGAGTCTCTCTAAAGCAACAAAAACAAGATGGGCACTATTTGTATGAATTATCAAAGTCTTGAGATATGTGACTAATGAAGATAGCATTCTAATGATGTAACTTTATGATTCTATAAGTAGAATACATGAAGTTCTTTTTTGTTTTGTTTTCCCAACATGGTTTCTCTGTGTAGCCCTAGCTGTCCTGGGACTTTCTCTGTAGACCAGGCTGCCTCAAATGCAGAGATTATTTTCAGAGGCCATAGGAACATAGAGCATATGGCAATTGATAATTCAGGTGTCGACCCACCAGACTCTGATGAATCCTGTCTAGCAAGGCAGGACCACTGACTCTGAAAACCAATTGCCTGTATCTGTAATTTCTTTCATGTGTCACTTCATTTCTTCCCTACGAATGGCTTTGCGTGTTTTCCCACTACTTGTGTGTTGATCTCATGAACATATTCCATCTACTGGGCACATATATCTGTGGGTGCTCAGGAAGATGACTTTTTATTTAGCTGTATAATTTTGATATATGGAAAACATACATACATGTTTCATAACTAGATCTAATTGTCCCACTAGAATTGTAGGTACTCAAAAGCCTGCTTGTTCCTTTTGCTCAGATTTAACTGCACACAGTTAGCTCACTTTCACTTCAGACCAAGTTCAAACTAGGCTAAAGGCTTTTGTAAATAGATCATAAGTTTAAAACTTTACAACTATGTACAAAGTCAGAATCACAGATGTCTAACCAGGTTACTACACAAAGCACCCTAAGAAAAGCATGCTAATTCTTTGCTTGCCAAGTCTGTTAACAATAGACCTATAATTTCAAAGTTTGTCACTGGGCACTGTGTGTGCCTCCCCTTCCCCCAAATCTGGTCATGTTCTTACTCCTGTAACCTTGGAACTTTGTGTTGTCATGGCAATGACTCAGCTCCCTATTGCTTACCCTAGGAATGTGCTTTTGACCAATGAGAAGTTACTCTTATATTTTTTTTTAAAATCACTTTAAGGCTCCTGGAATAAGAAGAATTTTTAGATAAGAGGAGAAGTGAGGAGAAAAGACTAGGAAGAATTAGAATTAGGACAGGAGAATTAGTATAAAGACAGAACAAAAAAAGAGACTGGTTCAGAAAAGCACATAGTGAGAGAGTTCATTTGTTCTCCCTCAGAACCGAAAGAAAAAAGCCTTTCACATGCTGTTGAGTCCAATTTGAGCCCTGAATAGAGAGTCTTGGGGCTGGACCCCTAAGGCTCTTGATAGATTATCCTGCCTCTGCCTTCAAAGTGCTGGGATTAAAGGTATGCACCACTACACCCAACACTGAAGTTCTTTTTTTAAAACTTGAAGCTTATTCGATACAACATTTATATAGAAACTGATTGTAAAAGACTATTTTAACTTTAATTTTTTCTATTCTAACTTTAAATAGTTGAATTTCTTTTCTTTCTCTTCTCTTTGTTGTTGTAATTTTCTGTTTAGATATCTTTTCCTTACTGTAGAAAGGCTACAGTAAGGTAGGTAAAGGCTAGAAGTATAATCTAATGGTAGATTCAAGTGTCTGCTATGCACAAGGCCTTAGGTTCAGTCCCCAGCATCACAAAAGGAAATGAGTGAGTGAATGAATGAATAAAATTAAAGATTAAGATTGCACTTTGCCTTTATACATGGATGAGGCTATGCTAGATCAGAAACAACCCTTTGAGGAAAGAGCTTCCAAAACTCTCTTCGTGGTCCTTTACCATGTCTGTATTCGTATACTTAGATTATTTCACAGTGAATTTATGTAGAATGATGTCGTTGACTAAACAATGTATTTGCAAAGGTATTTACCCTGACAATTCTGAGTTTCAGGTATCCTAAAAGTAAGTATATATCTAGAAATGAGAGATCACTAATGAAAACCAGTTATGTTTTTCTATGGGGCTATCATTTATAAGAAACTTTAGCTTTGTTAATATGTATGCTGGATAGTTTTATGTTGGCCTGACATATGCTAAAGTCTTTTGAGAGAAGGGAACCTCAATTAAGAAAATGTTTCCATAAGATGGGGCTTCAAGTAAGCCTGTAGTGCATTTTCTTAATTAGTGATTGATGGAGGAGGGTCCAGCTCATGTGGTGCCATCCCTAGGTTGGTGTTTCTGGGTTCTATAAGAAAACAGGCTGAGCAAGCCATAGGGAGCAAGCCACTGAGCAGCAACCTCCATGGTCTCTGCATCAGCTCCTGCCTCCAGGTTCGTGCTGTGTTTGAGTTCCTATCTAACCCTGACTCCTTTCGATGATGAACAGTGATGGATGTGGCAGCGTAAGCCAGATAAACCCTTTCCTCCCCAAGTTGCTTTTTTAAAGGTTATGGTGTTTCACTGCAGTAATAGAAACAGTATGACAGTTCATTCATCTTTTTGTATAATGGAAACCCACATTAATATTGCTTGTTAAACTTTCTTTTCTTTCTTTTTTTTTTTTTTTAAAGAGTTTGGATTCTGACAAGCCTAAAGAACCAGTGAAAAGATCTCCTCTTCGTCAGGAAACAAATATGGCCAACTTTTCTTACCGTTTCTCCATATACAACTTGAATGGTAAGGTTTGATTAAGTGAAGTCTAAAATAATATACTGAGTTCTATAATACAGGACTAATAGAAATGCAATTCTAAATCTAAACGGTATAAAATTATATTTGTAACTTGACTGAGTTGACTAAGTTTTGTTTCTCTTTTTTAAAATTAATGGGGGGGGGGCATGCACATGAGTGCAGATCCCTTCAGAAGCCAGAATTATCAGATCCTTTTAGAGATGGAGTCACAGGTAGTTGTGAATCGTCTAATATGGGTGCTAGGAATCAAACTCAGGTCATCTGGAAGAAGAGTACATGTTCTTAGCCACTGAGCTATCTCTCCATCTTGAGTTCTGGTTTTGATTTGTGCATATTAATTCAAATTAATCATAAGAGTTCCAGAAGAAAAAAGCAACCTGAACATGACAAATAATTTTCTTGTCATGTATTTAATACTTGATACTGTGTATGCTAATGAGAAAGCCCACAGCAATCTGATTGCATTGTTTTCTGACTGGATTATTAGAGTCCAAAGAAAATTATGCTTAGTGATTTTAAATCAACCCATATGACCTTTACTTTATTTAATGTACCTAGCCACTTCTTAGTGTTTGAAATAAACATTTAAAGTTTTTTAGACTTTTCTCTTTATGTTCTTTTCTCTTTTAGTAATACTGTATCTACCTAGATATTGACCATATTAGTAATTGTTTTAGTTAGGGTTTGCATTACTGCAACGAAATGCCATGACCAAAAGCAAGTTGCGAAGCACAAGGTTTATTTGACTTCCACTTCCACTTTGTAGTCCATTGTTGAAGAAAGTCAGGACAGAAACTCAAACAGGTAATCCTTTGCTCTATGTCTAAAATCCATATATGAGTGAGTACATACCCTGTTTGTCTTTTTCTGACAGGGCTACCTTGCTCAGAATGGTTTCTTCTAGCTCCATCCATTTGCCTTCGAATTTCAAGATTCCTCTTTTTTTTTTCCACTGAGTAGTACTCCATTGTGTAAATGTACTACATTTTCTCTATCCATTCTTCAGTTGAGGGGCATCTAGGTTGCTTCCAGGTTCTGGCTATTACAAATAATGCTGCTATGATCATCGTTGAACAGATGTCCTTGTTGTATGAATGTGCTTCTTTTGGGTATATGCCTAAGAGTGGGATTGGTGGATCTTGTGGTATACTGATTCCCATCTTCCATCTTGTTTCTAATTTAAATAAGAACTGGAGAGGAAAAAAAAAAGAATAAATTCTATACTTTTCCTGGCAGGGAAGAGACCATGGTCAAGAATGTAGGTTTCCTAGAGCAAGGCTCATCTACTATACTTGAGATATGCTGACCCCTGAAAGTTCTCAAAATTCAGTAAACTCCACTGTGTAAGTTGTTGTTGTGGGGGACTGTATGCATGCTCTCCCCTAAATGAAAAAAAAAAAAAAGATAAAAACTAAGATTTGAATCTAGATATGCTCTTTACTGCCAAGATATCTTTGGTTCAAGACCTACTAAGCCAGAATAGTAAAATCATGTACTTATTTGGATCTTCCTTAAAATTAGTATCTCATATATACTATTTCATCTTCCTTATTATAGAAAATAGCATTTTTTGGAATTTGAAATTCCAAGGATTAATGACTGATAAAATGAGAGATAACTGGCTTTTGTGTGTCAATCATGTATTCAGAAAGTATGCTGTACATTCTCATTGGTATTATCTATAAAGACAATCAATAATCCATGAATAAATATGATTTTATGTACCTTAAAAAAAAAGGAAAGAAAAAAAAACCTCAAATAGGGCTGGAATCTGGAGTCAGGAGCTGATGTAGAGGCCATGGAGGGGTACTGCTCACTGGCTTGTTCTCCATGGCTTGCTTAGCCTGCTTTCTTATAGATCCCAGGACCATCAGCCCAGGGATGGCCTCACCCACAAAAATGCCCTAAAGCCAGCTCTTATGAAAGCATTTTCTCAGCTGAGGTTCTCTCCTTTCAGAGGACTCACTCGTGTAAAGTTGACATAAAACTACCCAACATAACAGAGCAAAATTACATGGGAGATTTGGTTAAAACTATGGAATAGTACAAGTGTTTTGTCTTTGAACTTACAACCTCATTTTCCTTACCAGAGATCTTAAAAGATGGACTATTTACTTCTAAAATTTCTCTTAGAATTTAAAACATAACCTACTAGGTACTTTATTTGTGTGGTTTTAGACCCAATGAATATATTTCTTTGCTTTTTTCCTATTGCCTGTGGCTAATTTATAGTAGAATGTATAGATTTTGATTATGTTCTGGAAATTTATGTCTTCTTTGTAGAAGCTCTGAATCAGGGAGAGACTGTGGATCTGGATGCCCTGATGGCCGATCTCTGCTCCATAGAGCAAGAGCTCAGTAGTATTGGCTCAGGAAATAGTAAGCGTCAAGTCACAGAACCAAAAGTCACCCAGAAGCTACCTGTTAGCCGACAGACATCAAAACATGGCACCCTGAGAGGATTATCATCTTCCTCTACTAGAACAACTAAACCTTCCCCTGCTAACTACTCCCTGGATGACATCACTGCACAATTAGAACAGGCTTCCTTGAGCATGGATGAGGCTGCTCAGCAATCTGTAGTAGAAGATTCTAAGCCTTTAGTGACAAATCAGCACAGAAGGACTGCGTCAGCTGGCACCGTGAGTGATGCTGAAGTACGCTCTATTAGCAATTCCTCCCGTTCAAGCATCACTTCTGCAGCTTCTAGCATGGATTCTTTGGATATTGACAAAGTGATACGCCCTCAAGAACTGGATTTGACAACACATCAGGGGCAGCCAATTACTGAGGTAAATAGATGGAAATTTTTGGCCTCAAAATACAAAGAAATGAGTGGGTTTTTTTAGTCTTTTTTTTTTAATTGACTTTCTTCTTTAACATTTAAAAATTTATCAAAAGTACTTCTCAGCTGAATAAGGCTACAGAAGTAGTCTATCACCAGTCAGGGTAGTGTCACAGAGATGAGTTAGTTAGTTAGAAGAAGGTTAGAGCCCCGTTTCTGTCTTTTGACTTATTAAAACCCTTCAATTAATGCCAGTTGTTTCACGTGATTAAAAAATTGAATTGTGATTTATAAAGCCATGAATGCTTAATAAACTGATAATTGTTTTTAACATGATTAAAGTGAGACCATAAGGCCACGTAAAACCTCATTGTAGTCTTTGAAGATTCTACTATTTGGAATTTGCTTTATTCTATTATCAAAGGGTTAGTCTGTGTGGTAGAGTAAGTAGAAAGCTGAACTTCAAGAACTTGCTTCTTTGTCATTTGGTACCCATGGAACTCAGGTGAGTTATTCAGTTTCTCCAGACATCAGTTTTTCATAAGAAAACTTTTAATTCCTAGTACCTGTCTGCCTTCCTCTCTTCCTCAGAGGGTGATTCAGAGACACAGAAGTGATGTGGGGGATGTAAAATTATGTTTTCCTGAGTGTTTTGGGGTAAGATGGATTTGTGATAATAAAATTAACATATGAAAGATATTTCTCTCTTGATTTCTTGGCATCTAAATGGTAGCAATTTTGTTGTATAGTAGCAACAAGAAAGAAAATGAATGGATCAGAACAAAGTCAGCCTTTCCAATGAGCTTGTGTTTATATACTTTAATACAAAACAAAAGAGTATATGCATTATTGGCACTAATGTGGAATATTGTCAAACATCATAGAAAGAATTACAGAGAAACTTGAAATTTACTATCTGGCATTGTTAGACTATCCCTTGCCCGACTGATTCAATTCTTCATATTAATTTAATCAGTAACTCTTGAACTCTTGGTATTTACCCAGAAGCTTAGCTTTGTTTTAGGTACTATGGGGCACCAAAAAAAAAAAAAAAAAAAAAAAAAAAAAAAAAAAAGCATTAAACATGGTTACAAATGAGTTACTGCAAAGAAAGTAAGCAAATTATAGGAACCTAAAGAATAAACCCCTCACTTACTAAAATGGATCTTGTCTACAGTCTGTATTCTGTAAAGAATTTGAAAGCTGGTTTTACGTTATGAAGAAAACCAGTGTCTACTTTATGACCTAAGAAATCTACTTAGCACTAGTTTCCAGCATTTCATTTCATGCCTGTCAGATTTACCTGCTGAGATTTGAGTAAGCAGTGTTTTATTAGAGATGTGTTTTTATCTTCTTTGTCTTGTATGTTATTACCTCCTTTCTGTCCTATTATTTTGAGTTAGACCAAAATTTGTGAAAACAGATATGAAGTAATTACTAATGATATTCTGTATAGCTGTGGTTGTTAACTGCCTGTCCTGTCCATATCTGTCTTTCTGTCTGTAAAATAAAACAATGTAAAAGAATATAAAGTGAAAAGACCCATCTCTCAGGAAACACATCAGTGGTATCTGGTGACAGCCATGGGCAAAGGTAACAATATTTGGTGGTATAGTATTTAATATAATATTTTTAACATGAGGTTTGGTACGTAAATCAGGGAGGTTTAAAGTCTTATCGGGCCTCCTCTTTTACCTTGTCCAAAGTGATTTTAAAAAATGATTTAATAGTTTGCTTCAATATCCTCTGTTCTTGATATACTGCGTTCTGATTCAAATTGAACAAACTGAGATGAGCTCATTAGACCCAAAACCCATGTATCAAATAGTCTTAATAGCAAATATAATTTTAAAAATTATAATTAGTTTTTCATACATGGAACTAAATATCAGACTTATGAAGTATTTTCTTCCACACACATGTCATATTCTGCTCCCAGAAATAAGCACTTTCTAATCTTTGAGCTTGTTTTTATTAATCTCCATGTCATTAAACACTTACATCTCTGTATCTTTTTTCTTCCCTGCTGTTTCTATTATGTACTGACTTTGGAAAGTGAAGATGTGGCTTGTCTTTGGACAATACCTTTCACTTCTCTGCTCCTGCTCCATCCTTTCTAGTTCTCCCTTCTTCCCCTGTCTCACATTTAGTTATTGTTGTTTATTTCCTTTCCTTTTTGTGGTCTTATAGATCAAACCCAGGGCCTTACCTATGCTAGGCAAGCACTTACACACTCTTACCACTGAGTTAAATCCCCAGCCCTTCCAGCACACTCTGTGCTTTTATTGTAATGGCTGTACACTTGAGTTTGCTGCAAAACTGTATATTCTTTACAGTTTTAAGGGATAGCAATTTGCTTTTAAAAAACAGACAAAACACTTCTTTTTCTCTGTGTTTACCACTTCAGCTCTAATTTATCGTGGTTGATTTAGTCTTGGTTAGCTTGAACAGAGTTAATGTTCTATTCATTTCTTCCCTCTTAAAATTCTTTTTCCTCCTAGTCTTTTATTTGGGATTATTTATGTCTTTTCCCTCAGACCACTAACCTTCTGCAGAGAAGATTCTGCCAGTCTCTGGCACGAAGTGCATATGCCTAGCAGCTTCTCATCAGCTACTAGGGACAAGAACAGCTTTGGATGTGGGATTGTTTCTCGGTGTGAACTTCATCTGATCCATCAGATTTCTCAACACATATATAACTGACACTTTTGGCTACATGGATTTTGGTTGTGAGAGGCTACCCTGGATATTGTAAGATATTTAGAAGCACCCCTAACCTCTACTCAGTGGATGCCATTAGCTCCCTTCCAATTGTAGGCATGTTTACATATCCATGAAAGAAAATCATTCCCATTTGAGAATTTTACCTCTAGGTAGAAAATTAATAGCAAGTCAGAACCTCTTTTCAGGAAAAAATGACCTTGGGTTTTCCTTTTCCTGACATCTTTTTCTTGGAAACACACTAAATTAAGATTAGTTAATAGATGGCTAGTGTAGGAGGATAACTGTGAGTTCTTCAGCCTGGCTGTAGATCGAGATGCTGTTTCAAACAAAACAGATTGAAAGATTGGTTATAGAATATCTCTAGGTAGGATCAGAGTGTTTAGTTAGCACATACAAGGCTCTGTATTCCTGAAGCATAAGAGAGAAAATGGTTGTTCAGAAAAGTGACCAGGTATTATTGTTTACTTTAAAATTGCCCCCAGAGTAGTAAGTTCATACGGAACAGGACGAGTGCCTTGAAGAACATGCTAAGGCCTAGACTCTGACTTCCTCATGTGGTATACCTTCTGTAAGTGAGTAAGAACATGTCTCTGGAGGGCCTGAGTGCTTACATTGATTCCTACGAGATAGGACGTTCCTGTGGAGTGTGATGTTTTCTCAAGTCTGGTCATTTCTGTTATTACCAATGTGGTCTCTTTCCCGTACAACTATCATTTAATAGGCCCCTCAGAAAAGTCTCTTGTGAATAGCATGAACTGCCTCTGAAGATGACATGCCAGAGGTTGCAGAACTGAGTGAACCCCATCTCAAACAGTAGCCTAGTCTGTTGGGTCCTATGAGTGAGTATCAATTTGAGTGTGAGTCCATTACTGATGGGCAAGTAAAGAAGGAACTCTAGGAACTAACTGCTTTCTCAAATACAGTTTCTATCTGTAGTCCCACTGTCACTTCTACTGCTTCTGAGGACTAGGGCTTCTAGTGCTACTCTGCTTTTCTCTGGTGTTGGCTCTGCATTCCACTTTTAATTGGGCCTTTCAAGTATGTTACTACTTTGTACCTTACAGAGATTGTCCTTGTAAGTTTGTCATTTTTTTTAAAGCTCTTTATTTAGTGGGATTTGGAAAGAGTAGAAATCCCTCATTAGCCCTCTTTCTCATTGCAGCCTCTTGACTTTTGGAATGCCTCACGGTGGAATCTTCCGACTGTTTCAATCACATCCTTCTTCACTGACAACTCCAACTTTTTAAAACTTCTTAAAAATATTTCCATACAATAATATAATTTGATCATGTTTTCCCCTCCCCCGGTTCCTCCCAGATCCTCCTTACCCACCCAACTTTGTTCTTTTTCTCTTTCTCTCTTAAACAAAAGTAAAATAATAAAAACCAAGAAATGGCCACACACCAGTAAAACTCACAAAATAAACATCAAAACAGGCCAAAGACTAACAAAGCAAAAAATGCCCAAACAAAGCAAAGTTGAGTTAGAAAGTCTATAGAAATACCATTGAGTTCATCTTGTGTTGACCAACTACTCCTGGACATGGTGCCTGCCATGAGGTGTGAGTAATATACCCTGTGAGATTCTAATGGGGAAAACTGAGTTTTCCTTTGCCAAAGGGTATTAATTGCAGGCAGTTTCTTTAGTGATGGAGCCCCATGTCCACTTCCCCCTCTTAATGCTGGGACCCCATCTGGCTTGAGCTTGTGCACACCTTGTTCCTGCTGCCACAGTCTCTTGAGTTCAGATGTGCATCTGTCCTGTTGTGTCTGGAATGTTCGCCTTATTATTCATTTTATTTGTATTTTTTCCCTAGACTACTTGAGAGTTGGCTGCATTTGTCTTGACCCTTTTCTGTTTGTCATGGCTACTACTGTTTCTATTTCCTGAGAACTATATTTACCATATAGAGTTGATAGACCTTATTGATTTGGTAACTGAAACAGTGCTAAGAACATGTTTAATGGATATTACATAGAAAAGTGAAAAGTCTTTATCTGACCAAGCATATGACAAGAAAGCAAAGCAGAATTAGTTATCCATTCCATAAATGATTACTTAAATCTTGCATAGATACTCAGTGTCTAAGCACTACACAGGAATGTAGAGGATAAATTGTCATTATCGGGAACTGGAGAGATAGCTCAGTGAGTTTAGTACTTGCTGGACAAGCATGAGAACCTGAGTTCAGATCCCTAGCATCATCTATAAACTGGGCATGATGATGCAAGTTTGTAACCCCCAGGGCTGAGGGTAGTGATTAGGTAGATCCCAGGGGCTTTGGAGCCAGCCAGTCTTGCCAAATCGGTGAGCTCCAAGTTTGGCAATGTCTCAGCAAGTGAGGTGAAACATTGAAGAAGACATCAGACATCAACCTAGGACCCACATAGGCTCATACAAACACAGCATCACACATGCAAGGTCACCAATAACTTTGAAGATTAATTACAGAATGCTTTACAACTCACAGGCTGAAATCTTTGAGGGGAAAGATTTGCAGAAAATGAAGGAATTAATGAGTGGCTAGGAAGTTGCCAAGTATAGATTCAGGAAATTTGGCAACACAGAGAAACAAGAGGCAAGAAGAAGGTTAGCCAGGAGAGTTGAACATTTTGCTGTCGTTTCCTTGCCTTAGTGGGTTGATGGGGCCACTGAATTCTGAAGGAGGAATGAGTCAGATTGAAATAAGCTTAACTTGAGGGGAAGGCTATTTATTCATATAAAACTTGAAAGGATGGGTGGGGGAAATGTGAATTTAGTAAAGAATACACTTTGCTGGCTGAGATGTGATATTCTTTGTAAGGGAAGAGGTAAGGGGGAAAGCTGAAGCTTGAGAAATAAGGAGACTTAGTACAGGCTTTGCAGGAGATTTAGAGTACTGCCAGTGGTCCAAGGCAAGCAAAGATTCATTAGCATAAATTTTTGCTTCTGGACACAACATTGCAGCTTAGTGATTCTGACAGAGCTGTATTGTCTAGAAGTGAAGTAAGGCTATTCTTGAATTGTTAAGGATTAGGATCATCTGGTTCTTGATTTTTTACTTTTTGTGTAAAAGAATGAACAGTAAAATAATTGCCTGCATTTTTTATGACTATTTAGTTTCATTACTGTTTATTTCATTTCAGTGATCCATTTCTCTTCCTGCATGATGAAGAGCTGATCTTTTCACCTTCATTACCTGTCATTTTTTTTTCCTTCCTCCATTTCCACAGCATGCTATTTCTCTGAGATGTCCCAGTAAGCAGGCCAAGCACCACTCTGACGTCACAGAAGAGCAGGCTGAACTGACACCTGTAAGTTCTGTAAACATGGCATGGGGCTATTTAAATACCAAAGAAGAAAACAGATTCATTAGAATTCCAATTGATGATGTCTGATCATATAATAATGACAGTTTTTCTTTTTTATCTAATAAACTTATTTTAAAAGACTTATAAACTAAAAAAAATTGCACACCAAAATTTATCAGACCCAAAATCAGTGAGCTTCCATAGTTAGAGTAGGCATTTGGAATGGAGAAGCTGCGAAGCTTCACATTAAATTTTAAAATTTCATTATTGAATATATTTTATGCACTTATCCCCCACCACCAAAAATAAAACAAAATCTACGGCAGGCAAAAATAGAAAAACAATTAGCTTTATGTCTTCTTCAATAATTCATGTCTATTTGCTGCTTTCAGCCTTCCTTATCCCCTAAAATTTAGCTTTTCGTGTTCTTTCTTCATGTTATGCTGTACCCACATGTGCATTTGTTTACCTGTATACATATGTTATTGTCTGGGTTCTGCATATGAGAGAGTATATGCAAGGTTTTTCTTTCTGAGCTATATGATATATTCTAAGACCATCATTTTCCTGCAATTTTTTTATGATAGCAATTATATATGTCACTACCCCTTAGTAGGAATATCACATATTAAAACAGTCTGATACAGTGCTATTGAATGTTAACACTCAGGATAGACTACCTTCAACAAGTGTTTTGTATTAAAACCATTTTTAAAAATTCTGACTCCAAGGGCTTTCATCAGCTTCTTTAGGCCCTGATGGATTTAGCCATTCTTCAGGCTGGGTTCATAAAGTGCAGTGTCTCTTCTACACCGCTGCCTAACTGAATGTCTGGTCTCTGGCTGCAGCAGTAGCTCCCAGTCCTTTTAATCCTAGCACCCCTTTTTAAGTAACAAATAATTTGTAACACTACCTTTACTGCCCCCAACAAAATTCACAGTTAACATGATCTACCTACATCCCTTCAATATAAAAGAATACAATGTCTTAATGCCTAGGATGAAAAATAAAAGAACCCAAATAATTTGTAATAAAGATATTTAATACATAAATATTTGACTGCCACTATTGAAGGATGTAAGACAGTAGGGAAAAATCTACCTGCTCTTTATCTAGAATTCTCACTGAAGTGATCAGTACTGTGTTTGCTAACAAATACCAAAAGAAGAAAGAGTGGAATGTGAGTGGCTCCCAGAACTGAAATGTGCCATGAAAGTAACAGATACAACATATTGGTGTACCATGAAAGAAAATGAGGGAAATAACCTTAACTGAGTGATCTGGTGTGCCAAGACAATTACAGTCTAAGTAGGGATAATGGAAAGTACAAAATTCTTTGAGTTCTTCCTGCCTTAGCAATACTAAGTGCTTGGATTATAGGCCTTATCTGGCTCTTGAGATAAGTTTCTTGCTGTTGTTACAGTGATTAAATGAGATGGGTTAGTAAGAAATGATTTTTGATATTTGACTTTGTAAAACATATGTTTCTCATTGTGGTATACTTAAAATAATATGAAATATTTTTAAACAGTCTATACTATGAAACTCAATGAAATTCCTGCATTTCATATTTTTACTAATATAGCATTTGTCCTTAATTTTGTTCAGAGAAATTTCAGATCTTGGTATATATGACACTGACATTGCCAGTTGTGATACTGGCAGCTCTTACTTTAAGCTAGGGTTCCATTAGTAATGGTTTCACGTCATCATAAACAGTTTTATAAAAATAAGTTTTAAAGGAATCCATGGAGGGGTAGGGACAGCACAGTTAAGAGGGAAGGTGAGTATAAGCAAAATACCATGTTTATATGCACGAAAGTTAATCAAACCCATTATATTTGACATTACTAAACATAATAAAATAAAAAGTATAGAATTTCTTCAACCTATTTCATAAGACAAAGTGTTCCAAAATTCATTGAGAGTTAATATTATATAAAATTACTTTGGAGTATACAAGGATTTTCTTTTATATGATTTTCCATGGAAGGACATAAATGTCTTGTGGGATGGGTTAGTACTTTTAGGTGATGTTGTGTCATGCTTTAGGACATCTGGCACTTTCCACTTCTCAATAAATACTATTAACCCTTCCTCTTCTCTTTATTCTGAATGCCCAAAACACCTTCACCATTTTCTGAGATGCCAAGCTAAAGACAGTACTGAGAAACATTGATTTCAAGTGTTTGCTTGTTTTTTTTTTCATTTCCTCTAGTCATCCTATGCTTTCCAGCCTCCATTTCATCCTCCAAGACTGTACACATTTTCCTGAATACTTTCCTAAGCCCCTAATTTTGGCATAGGTACTCCCCTCCTCCTTCCCATGCCACCTAACACACTTCATTGTAGTTGTCAATGGGCAGTGAGGACTATTAGGGATATGCAAACTGGGCATCGTGGAGAGAGCAAGTACTAAGTGACTGCCTTTAACTCCAGGCTTGATGTTAGAATCTAAAAGCTGGCTGAGCAAAGAGAGGAAGATCATAAATGCAAGAGAAAAGGAAAACATATAGGCCTTGGCTATTTGTTTTATTTATTTATTTATTTATTTGTGTGTTTGTTTGTTTTGGTTTTTCAGGACAGGGTTTCTCTGTGAAACAGCACTAGCTGTCCTGGAACTCACTTTGTAGACCAGGCTGACCTCGAACTCACAAAGATCTGCCTGCCTCTGCCTCCTGAGCGCTGGGATTAAAGGCATGTGCCGCTGCCATGGGGCATTTATTTATTTATTTATTTATTTATTTATTTATTTATTTACATGTGTTTGTATGGGCATGTGTGTCACAGTGTGTATATGGAGTTTAGAGGACAATATTGTGAAGTTGGTTCTTCCCTTCCACCTTTACATGGGTTCTGGGGGTCAAATTCACATTGTTAGCCTTTCACAACAAGTGCTGAGCTATCTCGCTGGCTAGTTGTTAACCAGCAACATGTGCCAGGACACCCTGGCTGTTAACTGCACACACAAACCTCTTTTCTCACTCCCTTTACATCTTTCTCCAGTGAGAAGGCTCATTCCTTCTTCCTTCTGAAAGCGAGGAGTTAGGAGCAGTGTATGACTGCCTAGTACTAAAGGGAGAGAGACAAGTAACATAGGTATTTATTTAAAGGAGAATTTATTTCAACTTCTGGTTTCTAGACATCATTTCTGCTGTCACAGACACCTGTAGTTTAAATAACAGGAACCTGGATCTACCCTCCCTTAAAAGGCCCTGGCATTCTGCTTTTCTAATAAACCATGTCCTGTTCTTCAGTAAAAATTTCAACCCAAATAATTATTTTACTTTAAGAGTATTGCCCTCATAAGCAAAGTACATTACAGTAGCACTTTCATAAGTCAAATTTTTATTATCTATAGAATCACTAAAAGCATTATGATCATGTATTTCTGGATCTGTTTCTTTTTTTTCTCCCTAAGATCTAAACTATGTCTTTTTTAAAAATTAATTTATATGTATAGATATTTTGTCTGCATGCATGTCTATGCACCATGTGCATGCCTGGTGCCTGTTGAGGTTGAAAGAAGGCATCGATTCCCCTGGGACTAGAGTTACAGACAGTTGTGAGCTACCACATGGGTCCTGGAAATCAAACCTGGGTCTTTTGGAAGAGCAGCCAGTGCTCTTAACCACCAAGTTCTCTCTCATACCTATGTCTTTAAAAAAAAAAAAATGTATTAAGTGGGGAGAGGAGAACATGCACATGGTACCACATTGTGGAACAGTCGAAGGACAACTACTTTGCAGAATTGATTTTCTTCTTCCAGGATGTTTTAAGGTAGGATCTCTCTTACTGTTTGTGCCATACTGTGTATTCCAGGCAATTATATATTGTCCATGGAATCTTGCCATAGTAGTGCTGGGATTACAAATGGCCATCTAGCCTTTTACATGGATTTCAGGGATTGAATTCATGTCGGTGTGTGTGTATAGAGCAAGCACTTTCACCTGCTGAGCTACCCTGGATCTATTAAGCAACAACCAAAATATTTTCTGAAAACCAGGTGCCAAAATGTTTGTATCTAATACTTTATTAGAATTCATGTTTTTAATATTTTGCCAAGGCATAGCTTTTGTGGATGGCATGAGGCAAATTTTATTTTTTAAAAGATGAAATGCAAGGCTAGCAAGATGGCTTAGTGACTAAAGGCACCTGTCACCAAGCTCTGTGGCCTAGGTGTGAACCCCAGGAGTTACATGGTAGAAGAGAACTGTATTCTTGCAAGTTATCTTCAGACCTCTACGGTGTAGAATGTATACACCAACACACACACACATGCCATAGAGGCACAAAGATATATGTACATACATGTGCACAAAAATAAATAAAATTGTAAATACATTAAACTTGAAGTGTGGTTACATGAATATTGATATTTCACTATTTGGGGCTTTTTCTGGAAAAGTTACCTTTGTAAGATAAATTGAGATAAGTTTTCAAGAAATTACTTTCTTGGGCTAGAAAGATGGCTGATGGGGCTTTTTAGCACTTCTTGTGTGTACATGAGGACAAGAGTTTGGATCCCCAGAACCCATATAAGTGCCAAGTGGGATGGTAGCGTGCCTGCAATCCCAGCCACTGGAGACAAACACAGGATTCCAAGAAAAATCTAGCTAATTAGATTAGTGAAATCAGTGAGAGACCCTGCCTCCTTACACAAGATGGAAACCAACTGAGGAAGACACCCAACATTAACTTCTGGCCTCCACAGGCACACACATGTAACCACAATATGCACATATACCTACACATGGAGACAGGCACACACCACACACAGATTCTTCAAATTCATGCTGTGTTTTATGCATTCTTGTAAAAATATTTTTTCTCATGTATAGAGTGAATGAGAGCAATGGAAGTTATAGCTGATATTTTTAAATAGGCTTTTTAGTCTTTATACTTTTGTTTTCTCTCTGGTTTGGACTGAGCAGTAACCTTAAACTAAATTTGAGTTTTCAGAAACTTCTGCCTACCTACTGTTTTATGGATGAGATAATTATTCTTTATCTCTGGGAGAACTGTAGCATATAGATAAATGAGGGCCTAGGAATAATTTTCCCAGTTCTTAATGTTTGACCTATTTAGTGACAGTCATGAGGAATCCCCTTCAGCACGCACTATTAGGTTTCTTTTTTGTTGTTTTGGGGGAATGGATGAGAGAGGCCAGTTTTATTGGTTCATCTTGAACTAAAACAAACTTTAGCAGTACAAACAAATGTCTTGTAACAGACTCAACATAGCATAGATCTGAGCTAAGTTTAAATTAGCATATTTCATAGCAGTGCTTCCAGTCTTGAAGTAATATACTGTATCATTTATATGGACTTGTGAAAGTATCTGTGGGTTTTATATCTATTCATTGGAGTTGATTTCCAAAAAATTTGCCATAATAATTCAATATAGTTAGATTTATAAAATAAAACATTGTGGAACATTTTTTGGTACAATACCTTTATTAAGGGACAGGCAAGTCCAATGATAGACATACTAAACAGTCTCAGTTTAAGGATAAATATAATACAGTTACATATACTTGCATTGCAACATGTTATTTATCAAGAGGGCTTTGAGAGATAGAGCAGTTGTTAAGAGAGTGTACTTTGAGTTCAGTTCCCAGTACCCACACCAGGTGGCTCACACCTGCCTGCAACCCCAGCTCCAGGGAATCCAACAAATCTGGCCCCCATGGATACCTGTACTCACATGCACACACAGACACATAATTAATTAAAAATAAAATTAATCTCTTTTTAAGTTACTAAAAAGGTATAAATGGTAGTTAGAGACTATGTTGTTTGCATCATTGCTGGGAAAATATTTTAATTAAATAAGTTTAAATCAGCTCAAGGACAAAATATTCAGTGTTCATTTTCTATGAAAGTCCTTCACTTTCATTGTCTTGTAATGAATGGATTAATAAAATTTTACTAAAAGCAAAACAGCAGGCAAAATACATACGGGTGTTTTTCCTCTTGGTGTGGATGTAGCTATCGTTGAATTGATGAGAAATAGTTGTCAGTCTTTTAAGTGTTTGTTTTCTAAACAGAGTATACTGTTTAAATCTCTGTAAATCTTTTACTGATTTTTAATAGGAAGAACTATAGTCATTAGCCTTTGACACAGTTTTGTTTGTGATCTGTGCACAGCATTCTTGACCACTGGCTTGTAAGCCAGACTGGCTCTGTGATCTTTGTATGTGTTACACAGAGCCAGAAATCAGCAAGTCACCTGGAACACATCTGTGGGCACAGACAGGCCTTTACCTCTTACTTCCTTTCTGTTGGTGGTAGTGGTTGTGGTTTGTTTTTTTTTAATAATTTTTTTCTTGATGGACATATTTCACTCATTTTATAAAAATAGGAGATTATTTATAGTCATTCTTGCTCTATTTTATTTTAAAACACATAAAGCCTCCACTGACTTCTTTTATTGCCTTTTTTGTTTTTCTCTCTTTCTTCCTGCACAAGCACTCCTATCTGGACAGGGAAACCTCCCTTCTTCTGAGAAACATTGCAGGAAAACCTTCTCATTTGCTGACCAAGGTGATGCCGCTGCTTCCCACATGCATGTAACTATTCACTGCCTTGTAGACAGAGTATAATTTCTTGGGGGATTGCATTCTCAGTATCTTTCTTATTATGTAGCATCACTGTCCTTAGTACAGGGTGCTTTTTCTCTTGCTAAAAGTAATTGTCTTCCTAATCTAATGACTGTTAATATTTGGAGCCAAAAATATGTTCAGTAATTTCTACTTGTTTTTAACTTCTACAGATGCCTAGTGTTCTTCCAAGTATGTTGCACTTTTTCTAGTTTAATTTTGTGTTGCATTTCAAAGCCTAAAAACATGCTTTAATTTTGCTATTAATGGTTTTATGCTATGAATTTCTTTTGCAAGCTTTACAGTCCTTGCTTACATTATTACCTCTGGTTTAATTACAACACTTACTTACATAGACAGAATTTTGATTTATATTAACTTAGTCTTACTGGAAGAGAAGATCACAATTTGAATTTCTCAGTTTTCTACCCTCAGTTTGATTTGGTTCAGCTGGATATTGCTGGGATACTGTTTTACAACTTAAAATCTTTCATCAATTCTCATTATTAACTAGGTAACAATAATCAAGGAGCTGAATGGCTGTTTTCCTGATCATTGTCTTAATCAGTATCTTATTGAAATAGCACAATGTTAAGTTCAAGAATGCCAGACTTGCTTATAGTTTCTGAAGAATAATCAACATAGAAGCTTTTTATGTTGTTATATCTGAAAAGGTTTTTTTCTTTCATTTATTCATAGCATAAACTTTGGAGAGAAGGTAACTAAGATCAGAACCCCTCTAAGAAGCAGCTCAAAGAAAAAGAACCCCTGACAGAATAAGTAGTGAGACTATTTCTCTTGCCAGGTTTCCTTTCTAAAACAAATCAAGAATTGGAAGCATAAAGGTTAGGGCAGTAAAGAAATCTAAGCAGGTTTTATCCACATACTTTCTAACCCAAGAGTCTACCCTCATAGCTTAACTAGGATCTGTTCTAGAAGAGAGTGCTAGCTCTTGCCATGTGCACTGTCTCTGTGTCTGTCCTTGCTCCCCTGTGTTTCCAGATAGTTGATGGCTGTTAGGGTTTCCTGAGTGTCATCAGCATCTTACTTACTGGCACTTAAATCCTGCAGAAACTCACCCATCTTCTCCTCCGGGCCCCACAACTTAGATGTGTTTTGTTTTTCTACTTAGGGTACTACCACTCTCCAGTGACACAGGTGGAGCATTCTGGTCACCTGTCACTGTACTTCTCACATAATATCTCAATTCTAGAATGAGCCTGTTGTAATCCTCAATTTTACTGATTTACCCATCTGTTTCATTCCCATTGCTTCCACCATAAAAACAATCTCTTAGCATTTATCTGAGCACTGTAGTTGTCTCTAACTTTGTCCCTCATCTTTTTCTTACACTGTTCCCAGATTGAGTTTAACATTTTACCACTTCTCTTGCCTATTTTGTCAAGTGTTGACCCTTGTACTATGAAGTATGAAGTTAGTCTACAACACTGTTAATTGGACATATTCCTTACTCTTAAGGAGTACACAGTGTATTATGAAGATAAAGAAGCCAGGCATTGTGGTACACACCTATAATCTTAACACTTTTAAGACAAAGGCAAGTGGATCAGCAGTGCAGGGCTATCCTCAGCCACACAATAAATTTGAAGCTACTTTGGGACTACAAGAGACCCTGTCTTTTTTTTTTTTTTTGTGTGTGTGTGTGTGTGTGTGTGTGTGTGTGTGTGTGTGTGTGTGTGTGTGTACATATATGTGTGTATATACATGTAAGTATATGATACCTACATGATGTTAAGTGCTATAAAGGAAACAAAGGAGTAGAAAATCCAGAGGAGAAGATAAATAGTCTGTTTCACTGATGGCAAGGCCAGAAAAAGCCCTTTTGGATAGATGAAATTAAAACCAAGGCCTAAAAGATGAAAAGAAGCCAGCTTGAAGAGAAAGGCATGTTCCTTGTAGATAGGCTGTGGGAACAAGTGTTTACTTGAGAAGCTAAAGTTGGTATTGCTGAAACTACCATAATAAAGTGGAGCTACAAGTGTTTTGCTCTGTGTTGATAAATGTAAATAAGAGCCAGATCATTCAAGGCCTGCTAGGATATTTATATTTCTATAGATGCAGTGGGAAGCTATTGAGGTAAAGTAGCATCATCCATTTAGCAAATACTCATTGAGTACCTTATATCTGCCAGTGTCCTGGAAATTACGGGCAATAAACAAGTTCTTCCCACAGAAAAAAATTTTACCTGGTAAATTTGAGATAAAAACTGTTAGTAACTTCTCATCAACCCCAGCCACGGAAGCAGCCATATAGACTGAAATACGAAAACTTTGCACCTACAGCTTATAGTGACATATCTGGTCAACATCTGTTGTTAACCAGCTATACCACTGCATAAGCAAGTATAACACCCTGTTTGTGCAATAAGAAATTTGAGCAAGAATGTGATTCAGTAGTGTAGAATCTAAACACTTAAGAATGGGCTTGGGAATGGCATCATAGAAGAGGTGGCATATATTCCTAAGCAGCCTAGACCATAGAGCTCAGATGAACCGTACTCTGACTTTGTCAGTGCCCCCTGTCAGAGCACCTGGCTCTTGTGAATTATGTGTCCTTCCCTCTTTGGGGCTGGGTATTGAATCCTGGACCTTTCATATACCCAACATGTCCTGTGCTATTGTGTTGTATCTTCAGTCCCAAGTATGTGTACTGCTAACATACCAACCTATGGAGCAGTCTGGCTTTCAACCATAAAGCCTGGTACCCCAGTTTTCAACCTCCAGATGTCTGCCAAAGTTTAAGAACTATGCTAGTAGCAACCATTGTTTCTGCTTCAGGGAAGATGCAAAAATTCTTTTACATTATGTCTTTAACATGCAGTTTTCTTTATTGATACCCCAAAAGCTAAGGCTATAAAATGTTGGAGAAATAGAAACTGAGGTTATGATATAATTAATGAATATGTAGTTAAGTAGTTAATGAATATGTGTATGATCTTTAGACCGTAATCTTTATGAGTCTTGGTACTTATTTTTAATTTAAATTAGATATCATTTACAACATAACTTTCGGTTCAGCAAGTTTTAGATAATTAATGTTAGTTCTCTTGATGAGAGTTTAATATAATTTAGTGATTTCTTCAGAGAAATAGTTAACTGTATTTACTTTGATTCTGGACAGCATTATGCAGTAGAGCCTCCAATGAATATTAAATTATCACTTCAAGTTCTCTTTAATTTGTTACTTTTTTAATTGTTACAGTCTCCCAGAGAAATTGCACACCACTATTTAGTAACTGGATTTCATTATGTTTGTTCTAAACCTATAAGGTCTTAGTTTCTCAGTTGAAGGCATTCACTATCCCTTTCAACAACTGTAACTCTCTAACTACTGATATTCTGGTATTTACACCTCAGAGAATGTTACCCTTTGTAACCCAGCATTGGTTTTCATTTAATCATAAGATCTTTACCCAGTTTTTGTGCTATGTGCAAATTTGAGGAGGCTTGGCATTTGATGGCTATTGATAGCCATACAGGAGTTTTTCAGTAGAGAATGGGTTGTCTCTTGCTCTTTTAAGCAAAGAAGTAGGAGAGAAAGTTGCTTTTCTATGTGTGAGGTATCTCTTACTATGTTTAGGAGAGTTGTGAGACAATATGAAGAAGGGGCTGGTTAAAAAATATGGGGCAGAGCTGGTCAGCAGAAAATACAACAGGCAGCTTTGTCCTTTGCATTAGTGAACACAGGCTAGCACTGCCTTTATAAATAAAATACTGGAATTCTTCCATGTATTATCCAAACACACCAACACAGATTTAGTGATCTGTCTCCTTATTGAACAACACAAAGAACATAAGATGGTTTCCTTTTTTACAGTATTGCTATGTTTAACTAGAAAATACAAAGAGAACTCACACAGGAAGAGCGTGAGAACCACAGGAAAGGGGTTGATTGCTTTTATTCATAGTTTGTTCCAGTAAAAATGTTCAGATCCCACTGTAACCAGTTCTGTTTCTTCAAAAAGTTTCTAGAAATATTTTCCTTATAATATCCTGGAGAAGAATAAACTAAAATTCACCTATTTTGAAATTAAACACCTAGCTCTTAAACTTGATATTATTGTCTTAGACCAATTTATAAGGACCAGAGATGTAGCCCAGTGGTAGTTAAATTGCTTTTTATATGCAAGGCCCTGAAAACAATTTTTTAAAGGAAATTATATTGACCAATTTCTATGACTAAAAGAAAGAGTGAATCTGAATCTTTTTTACGAAGGCTTTACTGAGCTGTTTTATATTTTTAAAAAAACACCTCCTGATTGATGTATGAGAAATGTAATTGGTTAACTGTTTGTGAACTGGTTGCCCAGTTCTCTAATTGGTCAGTACTTCTAATGTGTGGAGCAGGAACTAATCTATGAGTTTAATTAAGCTAAGCCTGTCATGGAATTTGACATACAGTAGTTTACTAAATAAAACGGGAGAATGCAAATACTATTATTGTGTGTATAACTAGTCAAAGTACAGTATTTAATTTTGTCTATTCCTTTTTAGACATGCTTAGAGCAGTTTGAGGTTCTGACATGCTGATATATATCATCCATTGTAATATGACAAGCCTTAGATTCACTGCCCTGAAAGGCTCTGTACTGCCTAATAACTCCATTTCCTTCTTCGCCCCTGGCTACCACTGAACTTATACTGCTCTTTCCAGAGCACAGCATAGCTAGGGTTAACTATATAGTTTGTAACTTTTACAGATTGAATTCTTTTATTTATTAATACGTGTTTACAATCCCTCTGTGACCTCTTGTTGCTTGATAGCTCATTTCTTTTTAGTGCTGAATAATATTTAATTGCTACATTGCACCACAATTTATCTATTCACTTTTTAGAGGACATCCTTGCTGCTCCCAAGTACAGGTAATTATGAATAGTGCATATGTAAGCATCATGTACAGATTTTCTGTAGACAAAAGTCTGCAGCTGATGGGAATGAATACCTAGAATGAATGGGAATGGATACCTAGATCATGTGGCAATGGTACATTCACTTTTGTGAGAATCAGCCAAATGTGGCTGAACTATTTTGTGTTCTCACTAGTAGTGAGCAACAGTTCTTCTGTTCCACATCCTCACCAGCATTTGGCATTGGTATTTTGGGGGCATGGTAGTAAATGTATAGTTTTTTGTTTTGTTTTGTTTTGTTTTTATTAACTTGCACTTCCCAAATGACAAGGACTATTGACCATCTTTTTATATATGTATCTTCTGGAGAGATGGCTTAGTGGTTAAGAGTGGATGCTCTTCTAGAGGACCTAGGTTCTATTCCCAGCCCACAACCATCTATAATTCCAGTTCCAGGGAATCCAGTGTACTCTTTTGACCTCTACAAACACTAAATACATGGACTACACTACACATACTACACATATATCTGGAAGCCAAACACCTGTCCACATGTTCACATTTATCTACAGCAGTCATTATATAAATAAAACAAAGAGGCAGTGGTGAATGCTTCCTAATGACTTTTTATAAAATCAGTTATGTGATTATTTAAAGTATTTCGAATTCATTATAGAGTCTGGCTATATTCATAAATATTGCATATTTGGTGATTTACTTAATAATGATTTTGTTTCTGTCGTAGAAGACTCCATTCTAGAAACAGTTTTAATAACACTAGCTTAAATTTCTTACAACCTGTTTTTCAAAAGAAAAAATCTCACATTAAAGTATAATCTACATACTTTATGATGCTACTATTTGTATAACAGAGAGGACTGAGTATTTAATCTTTTAGTCAGGGGAATATATCTATAATAGTACAAAAACTGAGGATTAGTCCTTTTCATGATTAAAATGAAGTTCTTTGTTCTTTGACTATTGGGTTTACAGATAGCATTTCCAGGCCTTGGCCATTCTGTTAATTCAGTGGCTCCATTCACTGAAAGGTATCCAATTTCTGGATGTAAGCTCACTGCCTTTCCCTGCCCCAGTCTCTAGGCCACCAGTAATAACTTAAGCTTGTGAGAAGACACAGCCACTTAGGAAATGGAAATAGAAGAAAGCCATCAGAATTTTGGTGAATAGGAAAAAACTTTCAGTAAATGGGTTTAGGTTTTTTTTTTCTACCCTGAAGTGTTAGCTTTTTATGAAAACTAATACATGGATTGTGGGATTTGGGCACAATCCAGAAAGGATAAAGTTAGGTATTCCTTTTGTTGTTGTTTTTAAAGAAAGACATATAAAAGGACTGTAGAAGATGGCAGTTAATATGCATATTTAATGTTTTTTAACAGTAACAAAAGCTTAGAAATAGAAAGTAATCCTTTGTAAACAGAAATTTACTTATGGGAGTTTTTTAATTGGAAATTACAACTGCAGTGTTTATTATGGCCTGCTGCTGGAAGTTATCAGTAAGTACTAACTAGTGTAGAATGCTGTATGTTATTAGAAAAATGAACAATACTTTATTTTTAGTTCTTTATCATTTTTACTATAGTTTATAATTGGTTTTCTGAAGTAGAATTACAATTGGGTTATTTGTAAAGTTACATTTAGCATTTAAAAAGATTTATTGATGGATTAATAAATTAAGATTTACTGACATGATTGTGTTGCATGATTTTCCAAATCAGTAAAACTTAAAATAAAAGGCAGCCTCTTGTCTGTATTAGCATATTAATGAGAATTAATATTAGTACCTATGCTTCTTGTTTGTTAAGGGTTTTATATTATTGTAAATAAGTAGATTGGTTTTTGCTCTGTATATTTTTACAATGACCTTAAATTTTCAGTGTAACAAAATAAAACTACAAAAGTCTTGCATAAACTCTGGAGGGCAACTGAATTCAGAGTGATCTGAGTGTAGCAAATAGGAATGCAGGGGGCCTTATGCATCGTATTTCCCCAAACCCAGTACTTGAAAGTCATTTGCTTTATGTTGACAAAATTGAACCTAATTTACTGCATCACAGATTGCTTTCTTTTTCTTTAGAACATGGAATCTAATCTTACTCTTGCACCTGTGCTCTCCTGTTACAATATGTCTTATTCTGTGAACAGGGCCATTTTAAAAATGAAGTGTGTAACATAATGTTCTTAGTGAAATTTAGTACTGGCCCCTCTAAGGATGAAGCCTTCTCTAGTGTCTTCACCTTCTCAGCAGCAGTTTATCTGAAATGCTCTGTGTTTGCAGGAAGAACAAGCAGCAAAACTGAAAGCTGAGAAGATCAGAGTTGCCCTGGAGAAAATTAAAGAGGCCCAAGTAAAAAAGGTGATATGAGGCTCTTTGTTAGTTCTGAAATATTTCCCATTTTTTCCTGTTTTGCTTTTGCTTTATGAAGAATTTTCTTGTTTATATATGATGTTCCTCTAGTTTATAGAAAGGTGAAAATGCATTCTTCCTGTTTTCTGTTCATGTGTGGATTTGTGGGTGAGATGTTTTATGAAAGCCAGCCTTTGTTTCTGGGCAGGTCCTGAGGTGCCTAACTCAGGCTCACTGCTTGCAGCACATCTCCTCTGTGTTATCACTCAGATATTAAATAAAGGCTTCTCGGTACTTTCAAAACAAACAAAAATCACTAAGACAAAATCATCATTTTATCGTAATAATGTTATATTTTAAAGGCTTAAAATTTATGTTAACAGGTTTCTCAACATGTCTTAATTTAAGTTTACAGACGAATCAGAATGCTATTTAATATTGGAAAAATACTTTTCTAGGATACCATTTATTAAGTTAGTATTTAATTGTGTTTTTACCTCTTGCAGCTGGTAATCAGGGTGCACATGTCTGATGACAGTTCTAAAACAATGATGGTGGATGAGAGACAAACAGTGAGACAAGTGCTGGACAACCTGATGGACAAATCTCACTGTGGGTACAGTTTAGACTGGTCGCTGGTGGAGACCATTTCTGAGTTACAAATGGGTTAGTAATGTCGATGCTTTAATTGCTTTTTAGTGTCTATGTAATCCTAAATCTCCATATTGATAGAAGCATTTTGAGATACCTATGCTTTTTTCTATAAAATTATCAGGCACTTTATCTTTTTAAAGTCTGGTTTTTAATGTTTTTCCTAGTGTATCTGGAGAGTTCTTTAAATGAAAGGTGAATTCCAGTTCACTTTGTATTTAAAAATGATTAAAGCAAAGTTTTTTTTAATGGTAACAAAATGTTTTTTCTTTGAAATAAAAGCTTCATAAATACATTTATTAAAACTGTTATTGAAGCCGGGCGTTGGTGGCGCACGCCTTTAATCCCAGCACTCGGGAGGCAGAGGCAGGTGGATCTCTGTGAGTTCGAGGCCAGCCTGGTCTACAAGAGCTAGTTCCAGGACAGCCTCCAAAGCCACAGAGAAACCCTGTCTCGAAAAACCAAAAAATTTTATGTGTCCGAGTGTATGTATATGTGCATGGAGAAGCCAGAAGAGGGTGTCAGACCCTCTAGCACTGGAGCTAGTGATGGTTATGAGCTACCTGATGTTGGTGTTAAGAACTGAGCTGGATGCTCTGCAAGAACAGCCAGAGTTCTTAGTGCTGAGTCATCTCTCCAGCCCAAGTACTGCTACATTTACTGGTGTTTGCACAGCAGTCTTTAAGGGAAAGCAAAGCACATCAACAAATCTGAAAGAATACTTTTAACATATGTTCAGGGTGTGTGTGTGTACTCCTACGTTACAGAAAAAAACATCCAGTTACAGAAACATGCACCTGTTATTCCAGTCGTGGGGAGATAGAGAAAGGAGGATAGCAGAGTTTGCTAGCCAGTTAGTGTAGCTGAACTGGTGAGCTCCATGCCCAGTGAGAGACTGTTTCAAAATGTAAGGTGGAGAGCAATTGAGGACAATATCCATCATCAACCTTTGGCCTCTATACTTACAAAGATTCTATAATTCTGATATGATTTATCTTGCCTTTCATGTAATTCTGATGAATACTAACAAAAATCTGGTATTTAATTTTGGAACAGAGAGAATCTTTGAAGACCATGAAAACTTGGTTGAAAATCTTCTTAATTGGACAAGAGATAGCCAAAATAAGCTTATATTTATGGAGCGTATAGAAAAATACGCACTTTTTAAAAACCCACAGGTAAGATTAACTTATAAGTGCTGAGTCACAGTTAAAAAACTGGCAGCCACGTGACTGGACATTGTAGCTGCAAACCCTACAGGAACAGTCATTACTGCTGAGGTGGAAAGGAACTTGGGGGCCAGATGTTAGGTCCCACATGGGGTGAACTTTGACAGAAATAAATATAGTTCCAGGGTTTACTAGGTTTCTTCTCTGTAAATCCAGATCTTGCTGAACCCAGCAGCTTATTAATATTTGAGGTTCTCATTTCACCAAAATAGGCCAGGGAATTTTATCTAACTAGTTATTTTAATTTCTTTGCTGAATTGCATAATAATTTTGTTTATTTGGCATCTTTTATTTATTACAGTGTAATATTCACAACACCTGTGCCTTTTTAAAATCTGCAGATTCATTACAGCATTTCTAGGCATACTTTATTGTTATTTGTTGTGCCACTTCTCCACTTTCCCCTCTCCTGCTTGTCAACTTCCTCCTCAGTAGGTCAAGAAAAGCAAGAACTCTGCGATAAAGAACAATGATGAGAAAAATAACAGTAGTGTTAAAGGCAGTTTTTGTTCCTCATTCTTAATTATAGTTGTTTAGTGAAGAATATGTTAAGGAGTGTCAGTAGATCTTTTTGTAGAAGACTGGAAGAATAGTTACATTAATCGTTATAGTTCAGATCTTAATTAAACCAAGCAAATGAGATTGTTACATCCATAGCAGAATCTGAGGTTTCCTCATAAAAAGCCAGAATATTAATCATCATATGGAACAACATGCTAGGTCCAGAATAGAACTATGCTGGCTTAGCATGTCTCGGGAAATCTTTTATTTCTTCTACTTAATTTACAATGCTTCTGGGTATTTCTATATAACTAGTTAAATATTCTGTAATACTTGCTGTTGTACATATTGTCACCTCAGGGTGTGGAGGAAGGCAGTCTATGGAATACTTCATGTGTTTCAGGCAAGATGAAGGTGGACGAGGAACGTTTTGATGATGATGTTTATATGGTGGGAGCTTCTTGAAGTACTTTTGAAGTACTATGCACTGACAAAGTTGGACTTAGGTGGCTACTTCTCTAGAGCAAGTAATGTATGTGTTTACTCCCAAGAGAGTAGCAGAGTTTATCCTTTAATTTTCAGTTCGTTGTTTTGTTGTTTTTAGAATTACCTTCTTGGGAAAAAGGAAACAGTTGAGATGGCAGACAGAAACAAAGAAGTGCTTTTAGAGGTATGACTCACTCTCCCTTCCCCAAACATTTTTAAAATGGAAATGTTAAGTCAGTGTTCTGTGTGTACCTGTTGAGTCTCTTACAAACTATTCTTTTTGCCAAGCAATATTATAATGGATTAAATGGAGTAATGACCTTTTAAGGATTCCAGATAGGAAGAAAAACATGGCTGTGATGGTTCTCTCAGCTTTTCCAGAGGGTGGGATGGCCCTGTCAGTAGTACTTCCTGAACTAGTATGAGGAACTGAGTTCATAACCCCAACCACCTACATAAAAGCCAGGCACGGGGAATGTGCATTTGTAATCACGGCAGATTCGTGGCATGCACTAACCAGCCAGCCTATCCTCTAAGCTCTAGGCTCAATGAGAGACCATGTCTCAAAAACTAAGTTGGAAGGCAACTGAGGAAGACACCTGATATCATCTATTAGCCTCCGCACATGTGTGTGTACATAATCACCACACATCACAAACACACAAAGAAAAAGAAGTGGGACTTAGTAGTGTTATATTCAAGTCCGTTGAGTTTATAGGGAAATACTCTCTTTTGTTTGGTTGGTTTTGTTTTTTGAGACAGGGTTTCTATGTACAGCCCTGGCTATCCTGGAACTCATTCTGTTGACCAGGCTGGCCTCAAACTCACAGAGATCCACCTGCGTCTCTCATGGCCATAATAAAGATTATGTCCCACTGGGCAGTGGTGGTACTTGCCTTTAATCCCCACACTCGGGAGGCAGACAGGTGGTGTGTGTGTTGTGTATGTACATGAGCATTCAGGATTACACATCCCTATCTGCAGGCAGAGACAGGAAGAGAATGTCAGGTGTCATCTTCTCTCACTCTACCTTAGCCCATCTGGAAGCTCGCCTTTTCAGCTAGGTTGGCTACCCAGCAAGCACATGCAGCCATACCCAGCTTTTTATATAGGTAGTGATATTCAGACCATGAGGTCTTCATGGTTGCACAACAGACACTCTTACCCTCTGAGCCATTTCCCCAGCCCCATGACACATTTGTATTATCCAATAGTTTAGATTATCACAATAATTCTAAAGTAAATTCCTGCAGTGTTTAGAATAGAAAGTTCTTTCAGAAAGCTAGTGTGGTTTTAATACAAAGCTGTTTTGCTTTGCTTAGTGTTATACATCTCTTAGGAATAGATAATTCATTTTCTGAAACATAAGGATCATAAATCTTTCCAAATGCCTTTTTTTAAAGGAATGTTTTTGTGGGAGTTCTGTAACTGTCCCAGAAATTGAAGGTGTCCTTTGGCTGAAAGACGATGGCAAGAAGTCCTGGAAAAAGCGTTACTTTCTCTTACGAGCATCTGGCATCTACTATGTCCCTAAAGGAAAAGCAAAGGTATGTTCCTTCTCTGCGCTTCTGTACTCCCCCATTATGCTAGCTGCTTTACTCTGTAGTAAGAACACTATTGTACCTGTGTGAGACACAGGAGGTAATTTTGTGTATGACCTGCCTCTGTTGTAAAGAGGAAGCTAAAAACTGCCCACTTCTTTGCTCACTAGTTGGGCTCATCTCAATTCTCTGTTTTTTTTTTTTTTTTTTTTTTTTTTTTTTTTTTTTTTTTTTTCCTATTTGGATTTGTTGTTGTTAAGGGAAGGGATCTTATTCCTGTAGCACAGGCTGGCCTCAGATTCACTATGTAGATTACGATGGCACTGAACTCTCAGTCCTCTTTACTCCCCCTTTCCACTTCCCAAGTGCTGGGGTTACAGGTATGCATCACCACATCAGCTAAATATAGTTTATTATTTGGGGAGGCCAGGGGGAGTCTTGCTGGAGTCATGAGTATTTCATTTGGGGACAATGGCTTTCTAGGATTACATTGACATCAATCTTGAGTAATGTGCTTTTGCTGCACTATATGCTGTCATTTGTGCTTATTTGGGTTCATACATATTCTGAGCATTTACAGCATCATCCTAGTCATATAAACTATGAGTGTAAGTTGTTGCCTCTGCCTACTGAGGTGATTCCCAGTTGTGAATCACTGTGTTTGAGGTTTGCATTATAGCAATTCAGCTGATACTTAATAGATTCTTGGTCTTTCCTAAGAATGCTGCTGTTCTCCTGTTATCTATTACCTGTCTATTATGTGTTGTGTATACTACACAGCATGTTTAAAGTACCAACATTTTAAAATCAATATTCATTAGGAATTACATGTAACAAGCAAAATGGACTGCCTTTTTGGTTACATTGTAGATGAAAAATTTTATGATCTTACTTTCCACTTAATAAAGGTTTGATTCTGAACTAAACGCCCTTACCTGGTGTGATACTTGCTTATTTGCATTATTAATCTTTGGGTGTTTTTCTTAGGTATCTCGGGACCTGGTGTGCTTTCTCCAGCTGGATCATGTAAATGTATACTATGGGCAGGACTATCGGAGCAAATACAAAGCACCCACAGACTGTTGTCTGGCATTAAAGGTAACACAGCTCTGGAAATTGTAATCAGTATCAGATAGAGGTTTCTTGTCATTTGGATCTTCAAGTAGATTCTGTGTCTTTGGAGAAGGATAGGAGGACTAGGGGTAGCTCAGCAGTTACCATTAATTTAGCTCCATCCCAGCACCAGGGAGAACACGGTGAAGGTAGAATTTGGCCTAGTAGTTCACTCCAATAATCCCAGCACTCAGGAGCATCAGTTGGAACCAGACTGTCCTGGAAAAAATGTTTTTATAGAGAGACATGTTTTTGTTTTTCTTTTTGTTTTTTTCTGTGGTTTTCCTCAACTTTATTAGCAGACCCATTAGAGGGTACTGTTCCCATGTTCAAAATTCCCCTGCTTTCATCTGGCCAAGGAACAATTCTGTCTCTACCATCCCCCCAAATTATAGCCACACTAGTCTGTTATCTATGCTGTTATTAGGGAGTTTTCTTCTCTTTCAGTCAGGCTTTAAGTTTCTCACACGAATTGTGGCCATACATTAGAGAAGAGTGGGCAATGTTTAGAATTTTTAGTGTTCTAAATTAACATTTATAAAGGCAGCCTGCAAAGATCCAGGAAGAATTACTTAGAGCATCATGTTATACTCAGTGGCTCCATCTTCAGGACCCTCAATACTTAGGCCTGCATGTTTATATCATATTTTTTTTATGTAAAGTCTTACTTGGGTTTCAGGAGTACCATTTGTTTAGGATTTGGGGTGGGATTCTGATTTCTTTGGTAAAATGAGTGAGTGGCTTTGGAGGCTGTCCTGGAACTAGCTCTTGTAGACCAGACTGGTCTCTAATTTACAGAGATCCACCTGCCTCTGCCTCCCAAGTGCTGGGATTTAAACGTGTGCGTCACCACCACCCAGCTGCTGATCTTCATTTTTTGAGACAGTCTTGCTGTGTAGCCCAGGCTAGATTTAAACCTGGGACCTTCTGCCTCAACCTTCAAATTACTGGAATTAGAGGTGTGTGTCAAAAAGTCAGACAGTAGCCAATACTTATTAAGAAGTTGATACAAGGTAACTTCAGCCACTAACTAGTTTGCAAAATAATGTACAAGGTCCCTTGGAAAACCCAAAGATCATGTTAGTCAACATCAGGTTTGTAATACTGAGATGTTACATGCCTCCAACATTCATATATTCTCAGGATATGGTGTTTTCTCACAGGTCCCATTATGTCTTAATTTTTTTCTCTTATTTTAACTTCTAATAAAGTAAATATTGCAGGGACAGAATAAACATCAACACTATCCTCTTGTCCCACCAAAGAGTGCACACTGCAGTTTGGTCGAGAAAGAAGCCTACAAAGTATTATTTCACCAGTCATGTGTGACCATGTCCTCCATGTTGTGCTATATATATTGTGTATATGCCTGGTATCATTGTTTACCCACAAGGAAGGATCTTCTCCTTTGGAGCTTCTAAACCATGATTTCCTGGGTAAACATTTCCATTTTCAGTCTTACAGACTGAGAAGTCTATGACTTAACCTTGATGAAGTTTTTCTTTGATATGTAAAAGGGAATATTTGAGAACTTCCCAGGTGGAAAATTTACATTGACACCTTGACCTAAAATTTAACATGATATATACTTTATTTAAAAATAAAATAAGTATGGGCTATTTTATTCCACTTTTTGGTTATATAAGAAATATGTACTAAGCTGGGCATGGTGGCACACACCTTTAATCTCAGCACTTGGGTGGCAGAGGCAGGTGGATCTCTGTGAGTTTGCAGCCAGCCTGGTTACAGAGTGAGTTCCAAGACAGCCAGAAGTACACAGAGAAACCCTGTCTCAAAAAACAAACAAGAAGCCTGGCGTTGGGAGGCAGAGGCAGGTGGATCCCTGTGAGTTCGAGGCCAGCCTGGTACTCAGAGCAAGTGCCAGGACAGGCTCCAAAGCTACACAGAGAAACCCTGTCTGGGGGGTGGGGGAGGAGAAAAAAAGAAAAAGTATGCACCAGTTTGCCATTTCTCTAAGACTATAACTCATCAGGACATGACTGGATGCTGCCTTTCCTTTTGTAGCACCCACAGATCCAGAAGAAGTCTCAGTATATCAAGTACCTTTGCTGTGATGATGTTCGGACACTGCATCAGTGGGTCAATGGAATCCGAATCGCAAAGGTGCATTTCCTCTCCATCTCAGACTGCAATAATGACGTGATTAATTAGATACTTTGGATTGTTGGTAGTGGTTCTGGTTGTTTCATGCTCATTCCGCTAGTGTCTGGTTTCCTCAGGCCTAAGTTTGTATTTTAAATGCCCTTTTTCCTTGGTGGTTGGGAAATATGTTAATGTCTGGAATGATATTGCTGGTAATAACTTGTATCAAAGTGATTTATTTCTACTTCGGAGCATGTATTATATGATTCTTATGTAGCCAAGTTTAGCGTAAGTTAATAGGTTTTGTTGTTGTTTACAGATCTCTCCAGCCCCCAAATAAAAAATTGTATATTAAATTATGGTTATTTATCAAGTAGATTTGGAGCAGTACCCCTGAATAGTGCTAAGAATCTAGCCCTAGATCTGTTGGAGTGATGAAACTTTCATTTCTAATATAAATGCCAATAAAATTGGCTTCCTGCTGTCTCACAACTGAGGAAAATGAGTACAAATGTAACTTTCTAGAGAGTATTATAGGTATTAATAAAAACAACTAGTACACAGATGTTTCCCTCCCTTTACCCCATCCTTCCACATACCAACTCAGGATTAAACATCCCTATTTGTTCTCTTTTGTTTAGTATGGGAAGCAGCTCTACACAAATTACCAAGAAGCCTTGAAAAGGACAGAGCCTGCTTATGATTGGACTTCTTTATCCAGCTCCAGCATTAAATCTGGATCCAGTTCTTCTAGCATCCCAGGTAGCTCAAAGTACCACACAGCACTTATCAAGAGTGTTAAAACTTGCAGCCACAGCCATACCTAATTTCTGATCAGTGGGTACTTTTTTTCTCCCTATTTCCCACAAAGTTGTTCAAAGTGGATTGTTATGAACCATTTCACAAGTATTTAAAATGCACTTCTAATGCACTGTTAAATAATACTTATGAAGTTTATTTGAAAACTCACACATACTGATAAGACATGAGAAGTAATCACAAGCCATCAGGACACTGCACTACTACACAGCTTTCTTGACATTGCAGTACAGTGGGAACACTTCCAGCTAAGGAAGCCATTTAAGCTATCATACTTGCAGTGACACTCAAAAGGGCTTCTAGATTCCCATATCTTTTAAATGCATCTTCAGTTAAACGCTTTTTTCAAAATCTTCCCTGGATGATAATCCATGTCATTGCTTAACAACTTAAAAATCGTATGATTTCACATTATCTCTAAATAATAAAAAGTGTGTTTGGAATTGTGGTAAATACATAATAACCTGTGAAAATGTAGTGTATAACCCATGTAAGTGCCTATTTTCTAGTTCTGTTCATTGAAAGGGCCTAAAAGTGACATCCCAGTAATTACAAGACTGCCCACAGCCCAGTCGCCAGAAGAAGGAACCTGTGCTGTTGGGCAAATGGCTGATTCTAAAGCTATGGTAGAGAATATACAAGATGAGCCTTAAGTAGAGGACTTAAAAATAGGATAAGAGTTATCAGAGGAACATAGATGCCAACTTGAAAGAGCTCCCATGCCTAAAGCTGTAATAATGTTGAATAAGAGAAATATGCAATGTAGTATACAATTAAAAACAAATTAGAAGATATATCACTATGGATCCATGATAACATAATTTTCACACAAAAAAGTTTTTAAAGATTTTAAATATATTTTAATTAAAATACAATGGTATTACCTTCTATCCTTTTCCCCAGCTCCTTTCAAGTCCCACTATCATGTGTGTATGTCTACATGAGTTATGTGCACCATGTACATGCAGGTGCCCATGGAGGGCAGAGGAGGGCATTGTGTTCCTGGAACTAGAGTTACCAACAGTTGTGAGCTGCCTGGTATAGGTGCTGGGGCAGAGTCCAAGTCCTCTGCAAGAGTATGCTCTTAATTGAGATATCTCTCCAGCCCCACAAAATAGTTCTAAATGATTTCTGTACACACTTTGCCCTCTTAAGGAGCTACACATAGTGATTTACTTAAAAAAGAAGGGTTAAGCCGGGCAGTGGTGGTGCATGCCTTTAATCCCAGCACTCAGGTGGATCTCTGTGAGTTCGATGCCAGCCTGATCTACAAAGCTACATGGAGAAACCCTCAAGGGGGGAAAAAAGGTTGAGAAAGCAGTAACTTGACAGTGGAGAAAGTGGACAAGTGTTTAGTCACATTGGTTGCAGGTTCCCTTGATACAGTGTGATGAGACTTAATCAGTAGTTGTCAAGGCTATCAGAATCACAAAACAACCAATGAAAACCAGAGCAACTGTCAGAGGAGTCAAGATAACCAATTATAATGTGGCATCCTGGACCAGAATATGGATATATGAAGTATAGTATATAGTTATTAGTAAATCAGTGTCCATTCCATAGCTGTGGCAAATGTACTATAGATTTTAAACAGAATAATGGGACAAACTAGATGCTGAATCAGTAAGAATTTGAACTTACTCTATTCTAATATAAAAATAATAAACATCTAAAATAAGATGTTCATTTTAGTGGAAAAAATACTCTTGAGAAGTTGGACTAGAAAGACAGCAAGTAGGATCAGAGGCTGAGGAAAGGTGTACTGTTTTTAATTCATGTAGCACTTAATACCAGTACTTACATACTAAATAATGTGCCTTTTTCCTTCACTAGTATCATCCATATATTTTATTGAAATCTTAGGCTTTCTAGGCTAAAACATAAAATCCTAGTGATTAATGTTGAAGAGCACAAAGATTTGTGTGCTCGGGTCGTACAGGCTATTGTGAAATAGGGATAATAAATGAGCCTAGAGTCCTTGCTTTTTGGCATATTCCTTGTATTTTTACTTTGTGGATAGTCTTAACCTTGAAGAAGTTGAGGGTTAGGTTACTGAACTTATTTTAATAGCTTCCATTAATCACAAAGTAATTGTCTAGGAACAGCTTTGAGTCTCCACTACTTTCCAGGTATCATAAGGGACATAAATACACAGAGTTACCTTAGAATCCAGGAAAGTCATCTTCCAGTTCTTCTAGTCCCAATGTCAGGTAAAGGTGCTTCTTACCCTGAACCATAACCCATGCCTGCTCCCCACTGTCACCTGCACTGGAGGCAAGGCTGTATCATGACTGCTGCTCAGTTGTGCCAGTACCTGAGTGCCTGGGAAACCCTTTATTCTCAGTTGAAGGACTCAGTACTGTTGATTGCTAAGGAAGCCTCTGAATTTATAAGCTGTTCTGTAAATGACCTGAAAATGACGGATTCTTAAGATAATGTAGATATAATCGATGGCTCATTAATCCTTTTTTTAAAAAAAAAAAAAAACTTGTTCAGAGTAGATTTTTATCCAAGACAGGTTTTCAGGGTCCTAATGACTTGTGTAAGTCTCTCATGCTGAAGTATTAAAAAAAATTAAAGGGTCAAATTTTCTAACACTTGTAAGGTAAGCTTTTTCTACTAGATTGTATTCACTGAGTTTAGAGTAAGACGAGTTGATTTGCCATTCTACGTAGCATTTAACTGTAACATTTAAAATGTGTATATTCTATGATCAAAATGATACTGATGAAACTTTTTAAATGTTTTAAACAGAGTCTCAGTCAAATCACTCTAACCAGTCTGACAGTGGAATGTCAGACACCCTGCCCACAGGACACATCCGTTCCCAAAGCACTGTGAGCTCCATCTTCTCAGAAGCCTGGAAACGAGGCACTCAGTTGGAAGAGTCTAGCAAGGTAACACGCTAGTTTTAATTCACACATAAAAATCTGTGGTCATCTTTTATTCTTTTACCAGAGTTTCATTTGGCACTATTTTGGTCTTCCTTCTTAGATTTTCAATCTTAATTATAATGGGGGAACCACTTTATTTAGAGTTCTCTGTAGTGACTTGTGGCCTAAGATTTTTTTTTTTTTTTTAGTGGCGGTTATTTATACATTTTAATCAGCAGCTTACATTTTTAAGTTATAACAACCCCTCCCCACTCTACCTTTTTCAACTATAACCAGTTTGCTGGAGCAACACGATGTAGGGCTATTGCCCTAAAGTTCCAGAAAAGTTGCTTACAATTCATTTTTAATTAATTCAGATTCATTCCTTATTTTCAGTCTTAAGGTATGTCTATGATAGGCCTTGATAAATTTTCTCAAACTATGTTTTATGCAGAAGGCTAAATTCAAATCATTCTTAAAATTTTGGATTCCTGAATCTTGGCTAATATTCAGTAATATTATTACAGACCATAATGTTGAGTTTTTTCTTTTTATGTATTATGAAAATTTCAGACATAAATAGTGTATTTTAAGACTACCCCCACTTCTCCCAGAGCCACCTCACCTCCCATTTTCATGTCCTTTTTTTTCTTTCAAGAATCCATTAGTCCAGTTTGTGCTGCTGATACATACATAAGTGACTTTCCACTAGAACATGGGTCATTGTGCCAGGAGCCACACTATTACAGAAAACTGACTCTTGGGTTTTCCAGAAGCCTTCAATTGTCAAGTGCTCCCCAGTTAGGGGTGGGGGCTCATGAACCCCTTCCCACTCTGTGCTACAATGCTGACTGACTTGCTTTTGTGCAGGCAGCCACAGTTGAATTCATTAGTACAGAAGCTCTGTCAGGTCCTGAACACCCTCCTCCATCCCGGTCCTTGAGCCCTGGGGAGAGGCAGTATGGTGTATAGCTGTCTCGTTTGTAGCTGAGCACTCCAGGCACTCGTTCTCTGCACTTACCTATTGTGGGTCTCTGCATTAACCACTCTCTGCTGCACAAAGAAACTTCTCTGCTAAGATTCGAGAGCCACCTTAGAGTTGAAAGACATGCAGAATTCCTGTAGAAAGGATGTGTGCTGGGTATACTCACCACTTAAAGGGTGTATCCCATCATTGAGAAACCACTGACACTCTGGCTAGACTATTTTGCTTTTTACACAGTCATCATTTTCTTTCCCTTTTATTTATTTTATTGGTTCTTTTGGTCTGAGTCACGAATACAAGCACATTCACAAATGAGAATCAAAATGAATATTTAAATTTGTCTGTAAAACAAATTAATTACATAATTTGCATATATGGTTGACTAGCTGGCATGAGGGCGGGAAGAATGAAAATGAGCAGTCAATATTGGTTTTAATGACCTAAATTCTTTTTAAACACTGTTAAAACTCCCATATTAGAAAATTTTAACAGTTCTCTCTTCCACCCTAGAATCTTCTTCCCAAGTACTGGGGATTGAACTTAGGACCTTGCACGTTAGGCAAACACTGTCACAAACCTACATTCCAATCATTTATGTTTTGAGACAGTCCATCACATTTGGTGTTCCTGGCTGTCCTTCAATGTGTAATCCTCCTGTCTCAGCCTCCCAAGTAGGACTGTGTCACCAATCCCAGTTCCTTGTGAACCAATTTAGGTAAAACCTAATACTCTAAGCATATACTAGAAACAATAGCCTATGTAATTTTAAATGTCTGAAGAAAAATATCTTTCCTTGGCTGGGGATGTAGCTCAGTGGTAGAGCATTTGTCTAGCATGCACAAAACTCCAGGTTAAATTTCCCACTGCTGTCCAAAAAAAAAACCTTTACCTTAAAAATTAATAGTCAAACTCACTTACCACATGTGAAATCAAGGAAAACAAGAACACAAATACTCTTTGCTTAGGAAACAAAACTGTTGTTACAGTTTTAGAAAGAGAATGAACCCTGCAATGTAATAATGTCAGTTTGCTTGAGTCTTGATCCTTCTGTGTGTTTCTTCTGTTACCGCAGTCTCAGGTGCCACATGAGAAGGCCAGCACAGCTAAGGTCTGCACCCCTGAAGCAGCCAAGACAGGGTCAAGTTAAGGTCAGGGGCTATTCGCTGAAACACATTAACCTGGGTGACTCCTATAACCAAACCTTACAAACTAATGCTTTTATTTTGATGTATAATTTTTAGAGAAACGTGAACCCCCAATAGGCATTAGAATTCAGCCTATGAATGAACCTTTAGTTCACTAACTTAAGTACCCTCAATGCCAACTAGGTATCATTTGTGATTGAGAACCGATGGGTTTCCTCATTTCTTCACAGTTGTGCAAAGAGCCTACAGGGTGATTCCAGAGTTATTAAATCAAAATTCCTTCTTTTCCATATTTCAGAAGTCCTTGAGCCACAAATGTACACATGGTTGGCTCAGGCAGTAAGCAACCATTTCAGCCGTGCCAAATACAACCCAGATGTGGTTGACAACTCACTGGCAAACCCTAGCTCCTGCTTGCTGACTTTTCCTTTAGCTCTACAGTTTCCTCTTATTTTCATCTGGCTTTTTCTGTGTGATGTTTTATCTTTTACTATAATATTTACAACACATTTCTTTATGTATTTTCCAGTAAAGCAAATGTAAAGAATGCTCCCCTTACCTGCATTGCTGGACTTCTGTGCATGTTGGATGCAAGTGTTCACACAAGTGTGTGTGCGAATTCATTCATTCCTGTGTGACTGTGCACAACTGCTGAGCACTCTCATACACTCACGTGTCAGCTTACTAGGATCAAAAGCCATCCTCACTCCTCGGGAGGCCTTCCACCAGCATTCCTTACCCTAGGACGGCATCTGCTTGATGTGGATGCAGTCATGGACTGAAGGTGAACTTTTGAGCCCAGGAGGACCTAGGGCAGGGTTTGTGAAAGTCCCATTGCCAAGGTCAAAAATCACACATCCTGTCACAACCCAAATGGCTTTGCAACAGGAACTTGTTCCCACACTATTAGGCAGCATAGCTAGCTGTTAAAAGAATATTGCAGAGTGAAACAAATTTCCTGTGCCCTGGATACCTAGAGAATCAGATTTTAACCTTCCTGACATTGTCTGTCTTTATAATCACCAACTGCTGCATCCTCTTCATGCATGTCCTAGATTCCTTGCTTTTTAGTTTGATAGAGTCAAAGCTTACATCTGTAACTGTTTTGTTATGTTTTTCTCCCTCCCACTTCCCTTTTTATACTCCTTTTAGGCCAGAATGGAATCTATGAATCGGTCCTACACTTCACTTATGCCCCCTCTGTCCCCTCAAACTAAGATCGTCACCCCTTATACTGCCTCACAACCGTCACCCCCTCTGCCTCCTCCTCCACCGCCACCGCCGCCTCCTCCACCTCCACCACCTCCTCCTCCTCCTCCTCTCCCTAGTCAGTCTGCTGCACCTTCTGCAGGCTCATCAGCCACCATGTTTGTCAAGTACAGTACAATCACCAGGCTGCAAAATGCAGCTCAGCATTCAGGACCCCTGTTTAAGTCTCCACCAACCCCAGGGATGCAACCTCTGCCTTTGGCTTCACAGTCCCTCAAGGCTCAAATTGTGGTGCCCCCCAATGGAGTTATTCCTCCACCCCCTCCTCCTCCACCACCCCCAACCCCTGGTTCAGCCATGGCCCAGTTAAAGCCAGTGCCATGTGCCCCATCCCTGCCACAGTTCAGCCCCCAACCTCCTCCACTGAAGATTCATCAAGTTCAGCATGTTCCTCAGGTGGCCCCTCCCACACCCTCACCAGCTCCTCCCATCCCTTCAACTGTCCCTCCTCAAGCACCCCCTAAACCCCTGGTGACCATTCCTCCTTCAGCTAGCACCAAAACGGTGCCACCAATAGTGACACAAGCTGTACCACCCACCCCTGTACCTCCAGTGCCCCCAGCAAAGAAACAGCCAGCTTTCCCCATTTCTCACATTCCACCCTCCCCCCCCCTCCCGCCCCCCCCCACCCCCCCCCCCCCCCCACCCAACCCACA